TTCCCTCCTTCCACATCTCAGACTGGGAATTTCTGCTGACAAACGAAAGTTCCATTTTATACATCATGCCTGGATCATCATTCCCCACCCTACTAGAAACCACTGTTAATACTCTATTGTATATCCTTGCAGATCTTTTATCAATATGCTGAGTAGTAGTCATAATGTAGAGAGTTTTCTTTTCCATAAATGGAATCATATAATTCTGACTTCTTTTTTCTTAGAGAATGCATCTTGGAAGATTTATTTTTTAATTTCACAGGCATGGACCTATTTATTTCAATTTAATGGCTACATAATATTCCATAGCATGAAAATACACTAATGTACTTAACCTGCCTCCTACTATCATTTACAGTATTTCCAAATTTTCACTATCGTAAACATTGAGTCCAGGTGGACGACCGTCCCGCCTGCGCGTGGGCGCAGGGAGCAGGGCCAGCGTCCGTGGGGCGGCGGTCTCCTCGCGAACCCCGCGCGATTACCGATTATCCGCGTGCCGTGCCGCATGTCCGCGCAGCTCATACGTGCGCACTGCATGCCCTCTGCCCTTTTCCTTAGAAACTCTGTAGAAACAGACAGTGACGTCCCTGCCACTCGCGATGCCCCTGGGCCGGGTGTTGATGGAGCCACCACCTTTGTGGTGTTTTGCTTTTCATTCATTCATTCATTCATTCAGCAAGTACCTGCGGTGTGTGTGCGGTGATCTGAGCGCTTAGACATCCTGCGGCTGTAGACGTTTTTGCATCGTTACATTTGGCCCGTTTAGGGAACGTTACCCAAGGTGACTGCAGGGTCAACGATTGGTTTCTTCTTATAAAGCTGCTGTGTCAGACTCGTGGGCTGTGCTGGGGACTCCCAGCCCCCCCTGGGGACACAGGCTCGTTCCCAGTGTTTGAAGTTCTGTGTGAGAAGTTTTCCCTCCCTTTCAGGGCACCTTCTGAGGAAGAGGGGCCGGGGATGGGGTGGGGTGTCAGGCTGCCTGCGCCGCTCTGCCCTGTCACAGTTCACCTGGGGGGGGGGGGGGAAGGAGGGGGGTCCTCTCTTGTCACTGCACACTGAATTCCAGGAGCTGTTCCTGCCTCGGATTTTACAGAGTGCCAGTTCTGCGGCGTGAGTAAGACCTAGAGGTCTGCCCCACTGCCCGGGGCCTGTGGTCAGCAACACTGCATGGCAACCTTAGAAGTTTGCTAAGAGGGTAGAGCTTACCTTAAGTGTTTTTATAATAAGGAGGGGTGTCCTCTCTTGTCACTGCACACTGAATTCCAGGAGCTGTTCCTGCCTCGGATTTTACAGAGTGCCAGTTCTGCGGCGTGAGTAAGACCTAGAGGTCTGCCCCACTGCCCGGGGCCTGTGGTCAGCAACACTGCATGGCAACCTTAGAAGTTTGCTAAGAGGGTAGAGCTTACCTTAAGTGTTTTTATAATATAATAGTAATAAATTCAGAGGACAGTAGGAAATGTTTGGAGGGGATGATTAGGTTTATGGCAGAAATTGTGATGGCTTCATAGTGTATATTTCCAAATTCGTCAGCTTGTATGCATAAACATGTTCCTCTTTTAGTGTGTCAATTATACCTGAAAAAAGTGATTTTCAGAAGAGAAAAAGGAAAGACGTGTGGGCGCCGAGCGTCAGAAGAGCTTCTGTCTGCCATCCTCACGAGGACGTGGGGTCCCAGGCGGGGGTGGGCGGTGGGGTCCCGAGAGCTGTGTCGCGTGTTTACTTGTTCCGTTACAGTTTTCTTCCACCAGATGCTCCCCAGGATTTTCTTTAAAGAAAAAAAAAAATCCTTGTTATTTTTTTCAAATGTTCCTCAAAGACCTGGATTTGTCTTCTTTACAACAGTGAGAGGTCGCCGCGCCTTAAACTTTCGTTCGAGGTTTGCGTCACTTTTCATGCGTAAGTCGATTTTTACCTTTCGCGTTTGAATAGTTCCACGTCTGAGCTCTGGCGTAGGGTGCAGTAAGCGTTTTCCGTTGAAACGGGAGACCCAAACTGGACTTCGTCCGAGTTAGTCTGAGTTTTCAGTGCTTAGATCAGAGAAAATGGGTCAAAGTCGTGGATTTTCTCTTCCTTCTATCGTCACTACTCAGATAGTGGATTTTTAGAGACGGGAAAAGCAGCCCGTGCCCCGCGCGGCCGCAGACGCACGATGCCGGTG